TGATAATTCCTACTTGGAAGAAATGTCAGAATTTTATTTCTCAAGTACTTCTATAGCATTTACTAGGTGCCAGGCACTATTCTAAATACATAATCACTTACTTCCTCCCATCAACCCTCATTGGTAGGTGCTAGTGGTCACCCCATTTTATAGATGATTGGCAATTAAGGCACAGAAAGGACAAGAAATTTGGCTGAAGTCGCACAGACATTTAGTGGTAAAGCCAGGATTTAACCTAGGCAGCCTTGGCCCCGGGTCCACACTCTCCACCTTCACGCTGTAAGGCTACAGGTAGAGTACTGAGAGTCCCTCTTACAACTAGGGGCTTAGTCAGTCTACCTTCTCACTTTCACTGACTTTCTTGGAAAGAGATTCAGAATTTTGTCTCCCCGCCCTTGATCTCCTTTTCGACCGTCCCAGGTACTTGTCTCCGAGGCTCTGGCACTACCCCTAGGTCTCCGAGCAGCTATGGGCTGTTTCAGCCCTGCTCCAGGTCTCGCTGAGCTGCATGCTCCGGTCTAGACAGCACGGGTGGAGGGGCAAAGGGGGAGAGATGAGTAATAGAACCTGTAGACCCCTTCAGCGGCCCATGCCCAAGGGCTCTGTCCCGGCAGCTCCAACACCCAATCCCACTGGGACTTCGCTTGGCAGCCCCCCTCTGTCTGCCGCCCCCGGGCTGGAAACAGGCAGGCTCGGGGCAGCAGCCAGGGACAGGTGGGTGTTCAGCCGGGTCTGGCTGCCCTTGCCACAGAAGGCGGTGCGGAGGTGATGTGATGGCTCTCACCTGGGGATACAGAAGTGCCCAGGGACATGGCATCTGTGCTTGTCACGACAGGAGGGGGTGCTACTAGCACCTAGAGGGCAGTGGCTGGGGACACTGACTGCGCTACGCTGCACAGAACAGCCCGACAAGGATTCTCCAGCCCAGGAGCAAATAGTGCTGAGTTAGGTCGATGCGGCAGAGTCAGCTGTCTGAGCCTTTGTGACCTATGGGGCCTGGGCAGGGACACGAACTCTGTAGGCTTCCTCACTTGCAAAGTGGGAACGGTGACAGGGAACAGTGGAGCCTGGGCCCTGCTGTCCAGTAGGCACCCAGAACGTTTGTTTCCAATCCTCCTCACCTGCTCTGCTGACAGCTGCCCAACTGGGGCACAGATGAGCAAAGGTCAGAGAAGTCCTGGCCCAGGCCCCAGCTGTCTGTGCTGTTCTTCCCCTCCAGAGCTGCCCCAGGAGCCTGCTGCTCTGGGCAGCAGTCATCAGGGAACTCCCAGGAACATCCTGTCTCGGTGGGACTCCCTGAGGCCAGGACTCAAGTGCAGGTGTTCCCTCTCAAGTGACCCCAGGAGATGCCAGCAGGCGCTGGCCGGCAGCTAATAAAGAGTGAGCATCAAGCCCACGGCCGTGGTGGGCAGCCGAGGCTCACTTCCACCAAGTGCCTCTGGGAGCCGGTGTGGTGCCATGTTTCGTAGCCCAGGTAGTGAGGCACCAACGCTGCCAGTCACTGGAGGAAGACTGCTGGGTGGGAGAGGACCCGCCCTCCAGTACTTCTGGCTGGCAGCAGGCTACAGCCAGTGAAAGCCCTCAAGCAACTGGACCCTGACTAACGGACACAGCCTGGGGGATCTGGGTAGATCTCGGAGCTACGACCTCAACTGGTCCTCTGATCCCAGGCTCGGCTCTCTACCTACCACCTGACACTTATGGCCAGCTAGAACCAGACGTCTGTGCAGGCAGGAATTTCGGTCTGCTTTGTTAACTGTGTTCCTGGTGCCTAACACAGTGCCTGGCACATTGTAGAAGCACAGTCAATCATTGCTGGGTAAACAGGGAGGGCAAAGGACTCAAGTAAGGTCACAATCACAAACCTGGGATTCAAACGCAGGTCTGCCCGCTCTCATCACCCACACACAGAGCTGCACACCCTCCCAGATGGTGACGCTCTCACATGAGCACCCTCTGCATTCACAAGATACTGCCACGTTCGTCATCTTGTCTGGCAATGAATGTGGTTGTACCGAGTACAGAGTGGAGTCCACATGACCTGGGTTCAAGTCCCAACTCCTACGCTCACGGGCTGTGTGACCTCTGGGGTGGTCCTGCCTGCTTTCCCTCTGGGAACCAGGGAATCAGCAGCAGTGGCTTTGAGGGCTTGCACATGGAAATGGACACTGCCTAGAGGTGGCAGCAGACGGGTCTCACGGTGGAGAGAGAGAGGAGCAGCCCTTGTCCTGTGCGTCTCATCCGGTGTGATGCAGAATCTCTGGGCAGGTGGATCCTCATGCACATGCTCTGGCCTGGTTACGAGCACCTCTCTGACCCCATGAGACCTCCTCCTCCCTCCCTCATGCTACGTCCATGTGCAAATCCACCATTCCCTTCTTTCAGGTTCCCAGTCTGTCTGTCAGACATACACACAAACACATGCGTCCCTGCCCTTCCAGGCTTGGCCAGGCAGCCCTGATTCACTGTTTCCAGGAGCACAGCAGAGTTCCGATCACCGTGTGAGGGGCCTGTTGCTCCCCAGAGTCAGCCCCTCATGGCTCCCGGGTTTCCCTCCTCTGGGCCTCAGGGGTCAGGAACTCCTTCCGGGTAGCAGCATCCAGCTGCCAGGTGCAGGCCAACCTTCCCCTCCCCTCCCCTCCCTGGAGCCCCAGTGGCTAAGGCACAGGCCCGTCCCAAGGAATCGGGCTGCATGATCAGTCGCTCAGTGCTCAGTGGCTCCAGCCTCCCAGGAGGGGACAGATTCCGGTCCTCCCAGCAAGTGCCCCTTCAGCCAGGCCTGGGATGGGGGTGGGGGGTGGATTTCCCTGTCCGCTCCCGCCTGTCTGTACATCCTGCTCCAACCCTGTACCCTGGCACCCAGTGGAGACCTCAAAGCGCCTCACCATAACAAGAGCTGCGGTGGCGGCAGAGCACACTGATCCCAGCGGGGGCCATTTTCACGGTGTGCACTTTGGGATTAGTGCTCTGCTGTTCCCATCTTGAAATACTTACAAGGCTCACAAGCTATGTACTGAGTCCTACCGAGCATCCTATATGAACACTCATTGTATCCTCACTCCACTCCTTTGGCCAAGTACTAGCATCATCCTTATTTCATCAATAAGCCACCAAGGATCAGAAAGGTGAAGTCACTTGCCTGGAGTCACACACACAGCTCAGGGCTGGAGAGCGGGATTTGGGGCACTAGTCTTGCTGGAGAGCCTGTGTTCTTCACCATCTAGCTTTGGGAACTCCAGGCAGGGGCTGCAAGTTCCAGTTTGCTGCCTGCTGCTCTGTGGTGCTGAATGAACAGAGCGCTGCCCTGTTTTCATATCAGTCTTTCCCTTTGATCCTTCTACAACTGTGGGAGGGGCAAAGGAGAGCAACCAACAGCCTGGGAGGCGGAAACCCAGAGAGGTGGGGACTTGCAGGGCCACTGAGCAGCCAGGTTTCTGGGCTTCCAGTGCTGTCTTTTCCTCTTTGTCCAGCTCTCTTGCGTTCCCCAGCCCTGAGAGAGAAGACAGGCTAGAGGGAGAGTGGAGGTCAAGCTGAGCCTGGGGAGGAGGAGGTTCCCCAGCAAGACCACAGCGTACACAGGCTTGGGTTCCAGCTCCCAGATGTGGACTGGGATAGAAAGACCCAACCAAGAGAACCAGCCTTCTGGAAACACAGGCTTCTCAGTGCAGCGCACCCAGCCGGGCGCCCTTCCCACCCCAGCCTCTCCCACAGTCCAGCCTGGGAATGCCCTGCCAACTGCACACACCCTCTTCCATCAGCCTGACACCTTTCAGGCTGTGGAGACTCTCAGGCTTCCTCCTCTTGATTCAGTTCTTCTCTTGGTCCATCCTCTCAAATAGGCAACAAAATCCCTGCCTTGACCCTGCTCACATGGGGACCTTCAGTGAGGCTTGGTTCTTGCAGCTTTGTCCTTTCTCAGTTCTCTTACCTACTCTTAACCTCTGCCATTCTTGGGACTCCAAGTTCCTAGTTCTTCCTCACCTTTTCTCCTACCCCAGTTCTTTCCCTTGCCAGGGTTACCAGGCAGTGTTTGGATCCTGGCTTACTATGCATTAACCTTGGGTTGGTTATTGGGCCTGCTGTCAGCTCCTCATCCCTCAAAGGAGAATAGCAAAGCAAGACGTGCAAAATGCTTGGTATTTTGTTCTGACCTCAACCTGCCTGTCCCCGCCCTGGTAAGGACACTGCCTCCCATGTGCCCAGTGTGGTCCCACCCCACGATCTGCCCTGAGTGGGTGCTCATTTCCATTTCACCGTGGGGATAAACTGAGGCTCAGCAACAGACCTACCCAGAGTCAAAGTGGCTCCATTTGTCTCCAAGGCTAATAATTCTTCACCAGATGAGCAGCCTGGCACATGCCATGCAAAGATGTACCAAAAGGCTGGGCGTGGTGGTGCACATCTGTAATTCCAGCACTTGGGAGGCTGAGGCAGAAGGATTGTGGTGAGTTCGCGGCCAATTTGGGTGACATAGTGAGCTCAAGGACAGCCTAAACTACAGAGCAAGACCCTGTCTAAAAAATTTTTTAATTTAAATGTACCATAAGTGGGCCGGGGGTTTAGCTCAGTGGTTCTGCTGCCTGCCTTGCAAGCACAAGGTCCCAAGTTCGATCCCCCGTACCAAAAAACAAAACAAAACAAAAAAATGTACCATAACATCTCCAGCATAGCTTTTTAAACATAGACCTGGCTAGCATCTGGGCTATAGGATGAGTGGGGCTGGCTCTTCAGGTTCCCATAAAGGTTTTTGGGCTGGTCACTTCTTTCCAACACACATATGAGCCCTTGGTACAACAGTCTGCATTTTCTCTTGAGGATGCCTGAGTGAACACCTTTGCTGTGAAATCCCACACACTTGTAGAACACTAGTCAGAGCTGGAAGGGCTCCTTCGTTTAAAAGCGAGGAAAGCAGGCTGAGGCAGGAGGATTGCTTGCATTCGAGGCCAGTGTAGGTTGCATAATGAGTTCCAGGCCAATCTGAATTACATAGTGAGACTCTGTCTCAAAATAAATAATGAAAGTGAGGAAACAAACAAATTGAGGAAAGCACCCAAGATGAATCAGTCACATGTGCATTAATGACCTGCTGGGACTAGAACCTGAGGTCCTGGGCTCTCTAGGTTTTTTGTTGTTTGTCTGTTTTTTTTTGTTTGTTTGTTTGTTTTGGTGTGTGTGTGTGTGTGTGTGTGTGTGTGTGTGTGTGTGTGTGTGATAGGGTCTCGCTATGTAGTTCAGCCTGGCTTTTAATTTGTTATGTATATTTGCTAGGCTGACCTCAAACTCACAGCAGTCCTCCTGCCTCAATTTGACCTCCTAAGTGCTGGGTTTACAGGCGTGCTCAACCACACCTGGCTCCCTGCCTGTTTTTCCTTCGTGACATTACTTTGCTTTTAGGTGTTTCTGAGGACTCTGCAGGCCCTGTCTGGGGCTGAGGATGTGACTTTGGATGGCTCTGAAAGAGCTCATCCTCTAGGTTGATTTCCTTGAAGGAAGGTTTGGTAAACATACAAAAAATAATTACAATACAAATCGAGAAGAGGAAAATGTAAAGTATTTATTAAACCAAGGGAGCAGAAACAATGCCAATTTAACTAGCTGTGCCACCACTGACTACTGTTACCTCCTCCTGGGAGGTGGGGCTTGCCAGAGCATAGGCTCCCAGCAATGTGCAGGGGAGAAACATTTGGCCACATCTGGCCTGTGGTCAAGGCCAGAGATGCTGTTAAACATCCTGCAAAGCACAGGACAAAGAATTAGAGGACACAGACAGTAGCACCAAGGTTGAGAAACCCTGGCCTATGAGGTGTATTCTCAACAAGGGTAAAATAGGATCTGGGGGCGGGGGATATGTTGTCAAATATGACAATAGTTTGTGACCCTCCAAAAAGGACATAGCACCTAAAGCTTCATAGGGGATAGGGGACACAGAAAACACAAATCAAAAAGTGTCCTTAATGGGGCAAAAACACGGGTCTACTGCCCAACTGACCGGAGGGTTTTGGGAGGCTGGGCACTAGAACATGGCCTGAGCTCTGGCTCCTGGCATTCACCATCTCCTGCATCCTGCAAGCTGTCTAGGTTCTGCACTGTCCCCATCTCAAGTATGGGAAGAACAAGTCTGATCTCCTCCTAGAACAGCTTCAGGCAAAGCAGGACTCAGGACTGAGACCACCTGGCAGACAGGCCCCTGCTTACACATAAGTGTCCGAGGGGATGAAGGTCCACCCCAATCCAAGGGACGTCAGGCTGGACAGTTACCCTCTCAAGGGCAGGAAACAGTGCTGGACAAAACGTGTTTTTCCTCATGGCCAGCACCACCTTCCCAGCTCATTCCTTTGCCTTACAGCTCCAAGGCCAACCCTCAGGCCACCAGGAAAGTGTCTCACTGGATCTAAGCAAGCACACAAGGATGTAGACGTCCCTGGCTGACAGTCCGCACCCAGCAAGGTGGAGAAGCCCACTTACTACCACGACTTGCTTCAGTTCACACACCAAGAGGCTCAAATCCATGGCAAAGTCCAATTAAGAGGATGGGAAGGGGGTCACCTGACCTTTGACCCCCCCTCCCCCGCCCCATCGCCGGCAAATCAGAGATCCGAGTTCCTCTTAGAGCACCAGGGAGCTACGGTCGCTCGGGGAAGAAGTTGCCGGACGCAGGCGGACAGAGAGAAAGCCTGGCCACTGCGGGTGTCTGCCCACCTCGCTCGTGGCTGAAAAGGACTTTACGTTTGCCCAGGCTGGCCCGGGGGCACCGCGCACCTGGCTGTCG